CCCCTCCCAGTGATGACAACCCAAAATGCCTCCAGACATTGCCAACTGTCCCCTGGGGGCCAAAATCCTCCCCACCCCCATTGCGAACCGCTGCCGTGGAGAGCTGTGTCAAAGCATTAGCTAAGGCCACCTCATCACTACAGGGAAACAGCACAAAGCCCTCCAGGGACCAAGAGCATCATGGCACACGCACGTGTACCTACAGCAGCTTCTCCGGTTTCGACCTTGCAAATGATTGGCCGTAAAATCTTTGATTCGCGCCTCAGATCGGCCAGAAGAAACGGCACGTGTGGTTCGCAGATGGGAAGCCTTCTCTGTGAAACAGCACGTGCCGTGGTTCTGGGCCGAGATGTGTGCGACGCGGCCCGCACAGGGATGGGCGCTTTGCTTTGCCAACGCACTGCCTGGAACGCTGCCCGCCGCCTCCCCAGAACCGCAGAGCGTGAGCGTGTTTGGAAATTGGCTCTGCAGATGTCATCGGTTAAGATGAGGTCAGACCAGACAGGGTGGGCTCTAAATCTAATGACTGGTGCCTTTATAAGTGTGTGGGTTTTACAAACGTTTCTGTGGAAAGTCACCTCACAGGGCGACCCCATCATAAATTCCTCACTGGCCGGTCATGGCCAGCGGCCCCGCCCCAGGCCTATCAATTCAGCGGTAAAGACTCATCTTTGCCCCAAACCTGCCCTGGCCGCTGTTTCTGTGCATCCAGGTGAACACACCTGGGGAATGCTTCTTTTCAGACCCCCCTTCTAATACGAGACCAACGTCAAGACAGCAAATAATCTCAAATATCCCGTAATCTGATCCCCACCTTGATTTTCCCACCTTCCTTGAATCCTCCTTAACTCCAAATGCATTAAAAAAAAATTCTGCAAAACTGATATTCTCTGAAGCATGGGAGATCTCGCTCCTCAGCACATGTCATCAGTTTGGCTCGAATAAACTCATAAAATTTCTCTGCAGGTTTGGACGTGTCTTACATCGACACGCCGACCCTTCCTGCCAGGTGTCCGTCCGCTTCAGAAAGGCAAGAAGTCGAACCGGACAGTCGGGCACGGGCTGTCCTTGGGAGCACCCTCAGCTCTGCCGCCACCCGCCCGGGCCCTCCCAAGGCCACACCTGATGCTTTGTCCACAGACTCCACTTTCTGAGACTCGGTCTCTTCCTCTTCTTCTTCCTCCTCAGACGGGGCAGGCATCTCTCCGTCTTGGCAGCCACATGAATGGAAAGCAAAAAATAAAACATAGTTGTGTCACTGCGTGAGACGCGGGTATCAGGGCTCTCCTCGGAGCCCAGGGCGGGGACGCCGCGGGAAACTCCTGCATGTCGGCCTGTTGGAGGAAGTCGCGGAGAGGAAGTGGCCCCGGTCGACCCGGAAGCTGGTCCTGGGCAGTGGGAGGTCCCTCCCCCTCCCCCGACCCTGGAATGTCCGTTCCGCCCACCGGCCCACGTTGGGGACCATGTTCAAGGACGCGGCCTGAGAGCAACGTGTGGTCGAGACCTTCTGGACGGTGGACGTGACTGAACCCCACAGAGGCCTCTCTGTAAACTGGCTGGCAGGCAGAAGGGACCTGGTCGTCCGGGACCCCAAACAAGCCTCAGATGGAAGTTCCCTGCTTGTCAAACCTGTCACCTATCCGTCTGCAGTGGCCTGCCTCTTTCTGCCATCTCTCCCTGCGCTCCGTGTCCGGGGGCCAGTTTGTGAACCAACACAGCCATACGGAAATATTCCAAGTCCCAATGACAGCCCTAAGCAACGCAGAAGGAAGACCCGTGCGAATTCTCCAGGGCGGAAGGACACAAGAATGATCATGTAGTCACAACGAGCCCGGAAGAAAGATGAATGACGAACACACATGAAAAAAAGAGGCTCGATTCCACTCATTATTGAAACGTAGATTAGAATAAAGAAGCATGTCCACCCTTCATCTATGATAAAAGCTATGAAGAGTGACAATATCCAGCGTTGGCGAACGGGGACCTCATTACCGTGGGTGTGGACTGGCAGGGCCTTTGTGGGGAGCAGTTTGCCGGGACCTAGCCAAAGTACAGACGTGCACACCCACTAAGCCAGCAACTCCACTTTTGCAAATCTGACCCACAGAAACGGGGAGTGCGCAAAGGCAGAGCTGCATCATTGCATCGTCGGTAAAATATAATGCCCTGGAAAGGTCCACGCCCATTAACCAGGGAGTGGATAAATAAAGTAGGGTACACCTACGTACTCGATATCTGTAAAATGAGGTGGATCTATTGGTAATGACCTGAAAAGTGCTCCAAGATATATCTGAAGGGGGGAAGTCACAAAATAATATGTATAGTATGATCTTATCATTTTAGGAATTCTATATATCTATATATTATCATTACATACATATTATAGAAAGATATAGATGATGATACATAGGTAGATAGATAAGATAGATAGATGATAGATAGATAGATAGATAGATAGATAGACAGACAGACAGTAGGTAGGTGGATGGATGGATGGATGGATAGATGGATAGACAGAAAGACAGACAGCTAGATAGACAGACAGTAGATAGATAAACGGGCAGACAGGCAGATTTGGAAAAGATCTGGCAGAATACGCACCAAACAAACTATAGGAATGAAAACAGGACTTAAGGGACGGTGAAAGGTTGCTTTTCGCTTTTTACTTTATATAATTCTATTATGTGAATTTTTAAGAGAACATCTTTCAATACTACTTATGTACTTTTTAAAAATTTGAACAAGTTATTAAGCGATATATACATTATGATTCCATTTAGTTATTTCAAGAAACAATACATGCTCGCCTATTAGAACAGCATCTCGGGCTATCTGCTGCTGTGGGAGATAATCTCTTGCCTCGCCCCCACCCTCACCAGCATCCATTTGTCTCCATTGATATAACTTTTAACTGGGAAAGAGAGAAGTCTTGACCAGAAGAGGGGCAGAAATAGAGAAGAGGGATGAAGAGATACACGCCAGCCCTGCTCCAGGGCCTTTGGACAAATCAGAGCCCCCAGAAAGTGTCTAATGAAAGTGTCCAAGGACCTTCGTGAGTCTATAGACGATGTAAGCAGAGAGTGAGTGACAATGCGTGACAAGGAGCTGGGGAGGAGGTCCCCTCTCCCCACCTCTGTCCGTACCCAACACCACTCTGAGTACCAGCACAGCATCCTCACGACGTGGAGACAGCAGGGAAGGGCCGGAAAAGGAGGGGGAGCACAGGGAGATTCAGAGGCAGCCCTGAAACAGATCCCAGCCCGAGGGAGGTTTCCAAACACCCTTGGGAGGGTCCAGGACTGAACCAGAGGGACCTTCTGGAGTGAGACCGAACTCTGCTTCCACGTGGAATGGGGACATCCAGCCAGGAGGCACTGGGCCGAACACGTTGAGTATACACAGCACAGAAAACAGGCCCCGAACTGTTAACAGTTAACCTAGAGGTCTCAAGAAGGGTCCAAGTTATGTCGATTTCTTAGGGTTTTGGTATATTTTTTCTAAGTGTACAAAATTGGGTTACTGAAATTTGGTTCATGTTAAATAGTCGATCCTGTTAGTAGCCATAATTCCACTTGGTAGTAATGAAAATGTCTCAATTCAAGGTCCTGTTGTAATGTAATGCCCAGGTTCAAAGGTCTGCCTGGGGAAAAAAAGTAAAAGCCTGGAAGGTTAGATTCAAAAACGTTATTGTGGTCATCTCTGCAGGTGCCAGCAGCGATTTGTTATTATGGCTTATTTATGATTTTGGATTTTTCTGAAATGAATGCGTGTATTATTTTGTGCAAAAAATATTTAAAATAAGTAAATGTTCCTTACAAAAAAAAAAAAGAGTTCTGCCTTTCTGCCTTTCCCACTCTGTGAATGGCCCTGTAGGGGATCCAGAAGCCTGGGAAAGGCGGAAGATCAGCACAGGAGGCTGACACTGACGAGCGTCTCACAAACCTCGGCACAGGACACCTGCGCAGATGCCCCTGCTCCTGCTGGGAGGAAACTGGGCACGTTTCTCAGTCTCCTTCGCCAAGGTGTACCTGAGTGTCCCCTGCCCGCCCTCTGCCCTGTCTCCTCATCTAGCCCCATGCATCCCCCACCCCCAGGCCCTGTCTGTGTCCCTGGACTGGACCGGCCACCTCCACAGGGCTCTGGCCATCCGGTTACAGTCATTATTTTTGCTAACTGCAATGCTAATTTGCCAAACATCAACTGTACTGTAATTTTTCAAACCTCATTTGGGCATTACTTTACAACGACACGTCGGCAGGCGCCTGGGACGATGGACAGGGCTGCTCGTATCCACCTAGGAGACTGAGGCCGAAGTGTCCCTCCCGGCTCCCGGCTCCGGGGCCACCCCTCTCTCATCCATGTCACTCAGTCATTGGTCGGTGGCTCCTCCTCGTCGCTGCCGGTGAGACCACCGCGGGGGAGTCACTTAAGCCTCTCTGCGCCACAGCTCGCTCACCTGTCCGATGGGGCGAACGGTGCGCCCACTCGGCGCGCCCGCTTCGGAGCTTTCCCGCGCTGACGCGTGCGTGGGGAACTGTCCCCGGGGCGGGGCAGGTGCCTCACACGCGCCCGCGGCGGCTGTTGGCCTACGCGCCGCCCGCCCCCTGCGGGCTCACCCGTCTCCACGTCTACCTCCTCCGGCACCAGGGCGCGGTAGAAGAACAGCGTGGAGGCGCCCTCCTCGTCGCTCGTCTGGTTGAGGAAGTGCAGGATGAGGTCCTCGGCCTCGCCGTCGTCGCGGTTCAG